TGACGCTGGGAAAGACTGAAGGCAGGAGGAGAAGGGGGTGACAGAGGATGAGATGGTTGGATGGCATCACCAAATCAATGGACATGAGTTTGAGCAAACTCCGAGAGATAGTGAAGGACAGAGAGGCCTGGCGTGCTGCAGTCCATGGGGTCGCAAAAAGTCAGACACAATTTAGCAACTAAACAACAACAAAAAAACAAACTATGCAGCACTTGCTAGAGAGTCTGGATGTAAGGCAAGGCTTGGGGCACCAGGGTGAGTCCAAACTTGCACGATGAAAGAGGCCATCCTCCAAAATGGTTAACACATCTTCCAAAATACATTAATGACCACCATGTATTAAAATGCTGGCATGGTGTAGGCTTTGAAATGGTAATGACCACATTTTTTCACAATATTGTTTCTATAAAAGATAGCATTAATTTAGTTTTTGTTCAGGGATTACATTTCCATTAGTTAATAGCAATATATTTTCCAAAGACCTTTGAATCTAATGAGATTCTCATTAAAACATCACAGAAACTTTAGGTGGCATGTGGTTAAAAAAAACGGGGGGGGGGGGGCAAGGCTGTCTTAAATATTGATTGAATGTCTATTATGTGATACAAATTATAAAGACAGTTTGAATGAACTGTTTAAGTCAAATTCTGACATAGGCTTAAATATTCATAAAACTTAATTAATTACGAATTATCTTTAACAGAACTACCTACAGACTGGGTGACAGAATGTATTAAGATTATTGTCATGTACTGTTCTATCTGGGATTCCCAGGTGGCTCAGTGGTGAAGAATGCACCTGTCAATGCAGGAGACATGGGTTCGATCCCTGGGTTAGGAACATCCCCTTGAGGAGGACATGGGAACCCACTCCAGTATTCTTTCTTGGAGACCCATGGACAGTGGAGCCTGGTGAGCTACAATCCATGGGGTCACAAATGATGAGACACGACTGAACACTGCACACAGCACATTTTATCTAGTTTAATGAAAGAACCAAAATGCTTCATTTGAAAACTTCGTTATGATCCATCTCCTTCTGAATTCCAACCTATTTCCTTGAAAAGGATCAATCACATTAAAATCGGTTAATTATTTTTTCCTTTTCAGTGCTTATATAAATACAGTCAAATAGCTATAAGAGTATAAAGTAATGGCCCCAATAGGGTTTCTTGGACTGACCAGTGGACATCATCTGAGAATGTCCTGCCAGGGCCATGATCCCTAGGGACCTAGGTCCTCAAAGGCAGGGTGTGATTTTCCTGCCTCAGAGCACTTTCATTTGCTGTTTTCTTCATCTGGAGGGATCTCCCCTAGATTTTCTCATAAGCTTTGTAACTGCTAGTCCTGCTGGTTATTGAGCTCCCAACCCAGATACAGGCTTCCCTGGTGGCTCAGATGGTAAAAGTGTCTGCCTACAATGCGGGAGACCCGGGCTTGATCCCTAGGTTGGGAGGATCCCCTGGAGAAGGAGATGGCAACCCACTCCAGTACTCTTGCTTGGAGAATCCCATGGACGGGGGAGCCTAGAAGGCTATGGGGTTGCAAAGAGTCAGACCCGACTGAGCAACTTCACTTTCACTTTCACCACATCACTCACATTTCTTCACAGCACTTCTGTAAAATTATTTTGTTTATTGTCTTCTTCCTTTCTCATTAAAAGAAAAGGAGCTATAATCTTTAAGACTTTATCTGTAACATCTAGAGTCAACAGGGATTGGCACACATGTTTATTAAGGACCAAAGAGTAGATACTTGAGGACTTACAGACCATAGAGTTCAGTCACAACTACTCAACTCTGTCATTGTGGCATGAAAGCTACCACAGACAATATGAAAATGTATGGATAAGGCTGTGTTCTAATAAAACTTTATTTATAAAGAACAGTCAGCTGGCCAGATTGGGCCTATGGCTGTAGTTTGTCAAATTTTGCTCTAGAAAATTGTATTGGAATGTGGTAGTCAGTGTTAGTTGCTCAGTTGTGTCTGACACTTTACAACTGACCATGAAATTCTCCAGGCAAGAATACTGAAGTGGGTTGCCATTTCCTTCTCCAGGGATCATCCCGACCCAGGGATCAAATCCGGGTCTCCTGAATTGCAAGCAGATTCTTTACCATCTGAACCACTAGGGAAGCTCCACAGTACTCAGCAAATATTTTTAAATGAATGAGCTTTTTTTTTTTCACCTAGACTGACACAAAGAAATGATTCAGTTTAGTTCAGTTGCTCAGTCCTGTCTGACTCTCTGCGACCCCATGGACTGCAGCACACCAGGCCTCCCTGTCCATCACCAACTCCCGGAGCTTGCTCAAACTCATGTCCATTGAGTTGGTGATGCCATCCAACCATCATCCACTTGTTACTCTACAATAACCAAATAAGCAATATATACATACATCGCTTTGTCATAAATCCTTAGCCCTGGTAATACTGAGTAAAAGATGCACTAAATTGTTGGAGGTAATCAAGTGGCACCAGTGTAGCTTCATCTGGTTTACTCTTATTTTTCAGATTGATAGTCTTGGGCTGTACCCTGCAGGCCGCTCAGCCTCAAGACCAAAGAAAGAACCCAGAAACAGCAAAAGAGACATCCAAGCCTCAAAGGACGGGGGACCTCACAAGTCTGAAAAAAGGTCCTGGGGCAGTACCCCCGCCATGGACAACAAAGGGCAGGCAGAAAGCAGCAACCTTCACTCCTCAGGCAAGAAAGAGGCCACCATTCCTTAGAGAAACTGATGTCAGGGTGGCTCATCAGTTACCAGGGAAACAGGTGGCTGGGACAGGGGGCAAGCACAGAGGCAGTTAAGAGTTAAGCCCTATAATTAAGAGGGTAGGTTAGCCAGCTGAGTGAAGTGGGACTCGTCAAGGAGGGGATACAGAGTGAGCAAAGAAACAGCCATCTTGAATGGCCTGACTGTATGCACCGGGACGGAACTTTCTTACACAAAGGCAGAGTGTATGGCCACGGAAAGAATGTGATTTCTAGAGGCGATTTCTCTCATTCGCCAAAAAACACAACCGCTCTGCAGAAAAGCAGACTGATTTAAAGTCACAATAAATTATAACTTGAGTGATCCATACAAGAGAACAAGTAATAAAAGAAAAATCTTATAAAAGCATATTTCTTGCATATTAAAATATTTTTATGGGCAAATAAGTGGGAATTCCTGTTATCTCTGGTCAGAATGTGAAGATATGATCCCAGTTGCATGTTAATAGGGGTAGAACCACTTCCTTTTTCTGTTTAATAATTAGTGGAAAAAAGAATACCTTCTGGCATTTGCCACCTCCTGTGTTCCTTTATTACAGTGACAAGAAAAGCCAGAATATATTTTAAGTGATAGATAACATATTGGTGACATTTTAGACCTCCTTATGGACCTGTGGGCTGATAAATGTTTTTAAATAATAAACATAAAATAAGAATTATCAGACTAAATGGGAAGTATAATTCAAAATTTAAGGGTTCCTTACACATGTGAACCTGGTGTTCTTTGCAAGGTATAGATGACATAAATGGTACAATTTCTACAAGCAAAGAGCAGAATGCTTAGAGGCTAGCTATCACACTCCCTGCCCCCCAACCCCCACCCTGCCATCTTGTTAGAAAAATAAGACTAAATCCTTCCAGAGATGACAGACTTGTGTTCTCAAAATGTGGTCCATGGCCTACGTGCCTGCATCAGCCTCACTTGTGATGCTTGTTAAAAATTTGTATTCCTGGTCTGTACCTGGGAGCACCTTGATGCATCCAGGTCTCTGTAGTTGATTAAATGCTCAGGTGCAATTTGTACACAATAATGTCTGAGAATACGTTGAGAATTCACACTATATTACAGTAGATTAATGACAGTGAAACTGAGCTAGTCTTTTCCTAGTTGAATGTCCAGAGAATGTGAAAACCATTTCTGTGGGTTTAAAGTTATAAAATCATACATGTAAAAAAAACCCTGAAAAATGCGAAAATATTAAGACAAATCATTTCATAATACAGCTATGGGGGGAAAAACAACTTGGGGTGAGTACTGGGGTGACTTTCCTTCTGGCACACATTTTTAATTCTTAAGAGGAAAGTTCACGTAACACAAGTTTACCTTTTTCACATCTTGTCTTGGGAGACAAAAACTTTTTTTTTTTTAATTAAGAGCTTAGGATGTAAGATCCCTTCATTTCTGTTCACAATTAAGTGCTGAACTAACTATTAGTGGCCTCAGTTGAGAAGCCGAAGGAACGAGGCCATCCTCTTGAGCCAGAGTCTCACACCAGACAAGGGATCTCCTGCCGAGACTGACCAGCTCCCGACTTCATCCCCAAAAGGAACCGGACTAACCCCTCCATCTGACCGCTGCATCCTGCAAAATGTAGGGTGATCCTGCATCCCCAGTGGGAGCTTTTATCTGCCTTTATCCTGTGTTTGAAAGCCCCAGAGCCGAGTCAGAGAAGGACGACGTCTTGGCCCCCTGCAGCCCCCTCTTCCCCCAGATGGGCGGCGCTCGCAGTCTCCGGGGGGCTGAGGGGAGACCGGAGTACAGGGGGCGGGCGATGCCTGGGGTCCTGGCCGAGCCTCCGCGAACGTTGAGCGGCCGAACACAGCGGGCGCCCGCGGGGCCTGCACCTCGCCGCTCGGCCGGCAGGGGGCGCCGGCGTGTATGTGTGTGTTTGTTGGGGGGAGCCGGGCCTGCACCTCGCCGCCCGACCGGCAGGGGGCGCCGGTGGCGGGTGGGGGGCGCCGGCGCCTGGCCGGCGCGCCCCTCCCCCGCCGGCCCCCGCGCGCGGCGTTCCGCAAAGCCCGGGCGAGGGGCGGGGGCGGGGCGCGGCGGGCGCCCGAAACGGCCCTGCGGCGGGGGGCGCGCGCGCGAGCCCGAGGGGGAGGGGTGGCGGGAGCGCGCGGCGGGCGGGGGCGGGGCGGCGGGAGCGCGCGGCGGGAGCGCGGGCAGAGGGACGCCGGCTACCCTGGACAGCGCACCGCCGGCCGCCGGGGTCGCCGCGCCGCCAGCCATGGTGAGTGGGGGCTGCGCGCCGCCCGCCTCCGCCGCCGCCGCCCCTTCCTCCTCTCCGCCACCGACGCGCGGGGCGGGAAGGGGGCCGAGCGGCCGGCGGCGGCGGCGCGGGGGGCTGCGGATTCGGCCGCTGGAACCCGTCGCTGTCGGCGGGCCGGGCCGCGCGGGCCTGGGGAGGGGGCGGCGGACGTTTGGGGTCGGGGGGCGCGCTGGCCGCGCCCGGGCCCGCCGGGTCGCCGGCTCCGCGGTCCCGCCCGGCCCCTCCGGGCGCCCGCCGCCGCGTCCAGCCCCCTGTTGCATGCACGTGCCCGCCCTGCCGCCCCCCTAGTCCCGCGGCTGCCGCTCCCCGCTCCCGGCCCGGTCCGGCCCGGGGGACTGCGCCCCGCTTGGCGCGGGATCGGCCCCGCCGCGGGACCCACGCCGGCTCCGGGGCGCTAACGGTTGAATTCCCGCCTGCAAGGCGCCTGCAAGCGCCGGGGGTGTGTCTGCGCGCGGCCTCCCCGGGTTTGCACGGCGGGGTCGGGGCGGGGTGTCCCGATGTGGACTGGGCTGAGCGGGCCTCTCTGCTCCGTTCTTTCCCCCCCGCAACCGCTGTCTCCGCAGGCTCTGGCTCATCTCCCAGTTTACGAGGCTTTCTGCTGGATCTTAGGCTCTGTTTCCGGAGAGAAAGGGGCGTGTGTGTTGTGTGTGCGTGTGTGTCCCCGCGTGTCCCTGACCCAGGCATCGCCCGAGAGTGTCGGCGGGAGAGCCTGATTCCGTGACTCCAAAAAAAAGGAAAGTGTGTGCGGAGCTCAGAGTCCCGGGCAAAATGCGAAGTCGCGTATGTCCTCGGTGGCCCCTGTTCTATCTTTGCTTCTCTCCTCCCTTCCAGAGGGTCCCCTCTCCCCACTTCAGGGCTCGTTAAAAGAACGCGCATCTCCTGCGCCCCCCCCCCCCTCCGCCGGTTCCAGCTGACACCAGTCAGTCCTGGATTTTTGTCCCCCTTCTCCCCTTTCGGGCACACGCAATCTCCCTGTGGACGGAGGAGCCTTCTTTTTTGGCCACTCTTCCTAAAAATCCAGTCTTTCCCACCCCACTCACTGCAGTTCGTATGATCCTAGTCGGCTTCATTTTTTTTTTCCGCCTTGAGCATCTCTGTTGTTTAACACACTCTCTAGTTTCTGGACTTTATTGAATATGTTTCCCCACCGGACTGTCCGTTTCAGTAGAGCAGAGTTTATTTATTATTTTTTTTGTCATTTTGTTCTCTGCTCTATTCCTGGTACCTGCACCGATGCCTGGCAAATCGCCAGTGCTCTGTAAACTGAAAAAATTAGCCCAGTAAAGGAGCATACTGATGCTAATGTAGAAATGAGACGCAGTAGCGGGACTATAGGATTATCTATCCAATTAACAGTTGTAATGATGAAAATCACAGGTGGTGCTGAGAGGAGACATGCTCTTGGACGAGGGACTCGGTGTGGTGGCCCTTGATGAGTAGAATTGGCCGTCCTTTTGGCAGCTTGGCACCTGGGTGGACAAAGCGTTTTTGGGGCTAACTGGCTGTGTCCTTCGGAGCCTTAACCTTTGCTCCAAATTATTATGAATTACAACGAGTAAGGGAAAAGTGCAAGAAAGTCTCCTTAACTGAATGGAAGAGTCATGGGAACCTAAAAAAGCCAGAATAAAGGGCAAGCTGATACTACCTGAAGACAAGCCTTTTTCAGAAACTTTGGGTCTTCAGAGGAGAATTATTTCTCTTGTAGATGTCCAAATCCAAGTCTTCCCACTTGGGAAAAAAAAAAAATGATGCAGAGTGTGTGAAAGTTCAGGGTTTATAAGGTAGTGGTTCGGTTCAGAGACACCCCTCTGGATCCAAGTCCAACATGAACAGTCTCTCAAGGTGTCTCTGCTAATTCATCTTACTCCAAAACCCATTTTTCTTTTAAGTTCCCTTTTTTCCACTTCCAGAGTATAAATTTATGGTAATCCTTTGTTTAAAGCCTGGGAAAGTGTGCTTTTATAATCTGAGCCAAACTGCTTAATAAAATCTACCTGGTAAAGTTTCCATAAATGATGTGATTTTAGCCATCATTGTATAAGTTTGTGGTTCTGACTACTGTCTTATCCAGATAGGTAGTAAAAAATTAGAGATAAAAAGGAAAGAAAATTTCCTTTGTAATTAAAAACAAGCAACCAACCAAACCAAATGTAAGACATCTCATTTTTATGCAAGTTGATATTTGTAGGAGATTTTGCTATGTGTGACTCCAGTCAAAATATCAAGTCATTTTTTTTCTTTTCTTCAAAAGCGTAGCAAATCCATTTTTAACGTATCCAGTTGGGTAAGCTTACTTTTTGCTTCTCCAACAAAAGGCTGCAATTTTAGCTCCCTTCAAGACGTGTGTGTTTTTTTTTTTTAAGTTGAGTTATAATTGATCCCTTCAAAACATGTTAATAACAGTTTGGAGGTTTCAGGTGTGTCCATAGTCTGAAACAGCGTTGAACCTTTACATGGATCACCTTGTCTATCTAGTCATCTTCAGGAGGCAGGGCCCTTCTGCTCAGAGTTGCGTCCAGAATCACCTCCCTGGGACAGCCGGCTGCGTACCCCCTAACTCATCAGGTTTGGGTGTTAGGAATAGCCCTTGACTGGAGGCAGGAAATCGCACTGGAAGCTCTTCTTTAGGCTCCCCTAGCCAAAGTGTGTCAACATCAGTAGTTTCCCATGATTCTGAAGTTACAAATTTGCTCACTTGTGTTTTTTCTTAACCTTGGAACTAGCGCATTGCTGGTATTTCACCAACTCTTAACAATGAACCATTATAATAAATTGCTAGTTTAAATACAGCCATTTAAAATTTAGCCATTTAATAGCAGAATGTCAATTGTTCTGGGGTTGATGTAGCAATTTGGAACCCCAGGCGTGGACTCAACTTTGGGTTTGAATTCCAGCACAGCATTTAACTGTGACCTTGGGCAGATTAACTGTTCTTGGCCTCAGCTTTTTCTTCTGTGAAAAAAGATGCTAATGTTATTTCATAAGGTGGTTTGAGGACCAAATAAGCTAATGCACTTGATGTGGCTCATTTAGTGCTGTGAGTGTTCAGTAAATGTTAACTGTTATAATGACATATTTTTTTCTTTCTCTCATGTGTTTGCAGTTGAGACCCTTCTAAATGATGTCTGATTCTTCTCAGAATTCTCTTCCCCTTATGTGGTCCTAAAACATTCCTATTATTGCTCTGTATCCATGCCTTCCAGGAGAAATATAATGCAGGCCACACGTGTGATTTTAAATTTTCTAGTAGTCACTTTAAAAAGTAGAGACAGGTGAAATTAATTTTTAACATATTTTTAACCTAATTCACAAAAATAGTATTTCAATATGTAGTAAGTGTAGGAAACATTGGGTCCTTTTTTTCTTTTTTTTCCATATGAAATCTTTAAAATCTGGTGTGTGTTTTATGCTTGGAACTTGTTCAGTTCAGCCTCACCACAGTTTCTCAACAGCCACACGTGGATCGAGATCGAGGTTACTGTATTAGACAGAATGGCTCTGGGATGATCCACACCTTCCAAATATACCTCCTATCTGCTGGGCCCTTTCCACTCGTGAGAACCTCCCTGCCACCTTAAACCCAGCCTTACTGAAAGAGAGCTACTCGCCTTTCAGAGGCATCTCTGGTCCCTCTTGCTGTTAGTAATTCCACCAGCTCCGGCATCTACAGTGTCAGAAATCTGATTCTTACTCTCCCTCTCTCTTCTTTGTGTTGTTTATCGTCTAATCTCATATTTTAACTTGAAAATATCTCTCACTCTCTCCAGCCCCTTTTCCACTATTGCTTCTTCTCCAGGTTTCCTCTCTCGTCGTCTGATTGTTTTTTAACTTGAAATTTGTTCTTTCATCATCGTTTTCATCTAGCTCCTTGCTGGGGGCTCTCGTCCTAGTGTTTTCTCTCCCTCCCACCTCCCCAGCCCCCTGCTTCCCTTCCTCCATCCTGCCTCTCTCTCCAAACCACCAGCCTCCACACATTCTCCATTCCTTCACTGGCTGTTTTTCATCATGAGTCACAAATGCTTTCTATTTGATCGCTTCTTTCTGTGTTGAACATCTTTCTTTTATCAAATATCCAAAGAAATATATTTACTTTAACTGATAATATGATACTGAAATGGACCACCCAAGAAAAGCCCACAGGTAGAGGGAGGAGAAATATCAACCACCAGAAGCGAAAAGGAAATTATTTTTGAGCTTTATCTCCTTTCTAAGAACTGTCTTTGGACCCGACTAATAATGATAGGGGCAACCCGCGCATCAGTGAGGACACCCTGTGTTTCTCAGTGCCCGGGGCAGGCAGGGCCCTTCCCTCCTCCTGGTGAGCGAGCGCACCTCAAGGAAGGCCTGAATCGGGAGCCAGGAGCCCTGGCCTCTCGTCCCGGGTCTGTCGTGGACCAGCTCTGTGTCCTTGACCAGGTTACTCTGGGGCACTGTTTACTCATCAGCAAAATGGGTTCCTCTCATTTTCACAAGATGATTTTGTTAGAAGCAAGTGGGGCCTTTGCACTGGCCATTCTCTCTGGCTGGGTGTTTCCCTGCGAGCTGTGTGGTTGTCTCCCTAACACCTTCTTAGTTGGGCTTACCCTAACATCACTATTTTAAACTGGAGCCTGCTCTCAGCCGTGTTGCCTGCGTCTCCTTACGGCTCTCTGTTTTTTTCCCATAACACTATAACTTTATAATTTACTCATTTACATAGCCCTGGGAACTTTCTGATCCTTCTTTCTGTGCTTTCTTGTCCTTCCTACGAGAAGGCGAGCTTCGCGAGGGCAGGTGTCTGCATTCTCAGTGATGTAGCTCAGGCTCCGAGCCTAACCCCTGACGGTCGGTGAATGCTGAGCAACTGTCGACCAAGTGCGGGCGGGTTCCGCTGCCTCTCCGAGCAGTGCGCCTGTCTCCTTACGTCCCATTTCCCACCTGCAGAGGATGAATTGGGAAATGAACTTTTGCTTTGCAGATGT